GGGTAAACAACAGTAACCAAAATAAGTATAACAAAATGAAGTATATACATAGCGCCATTCGTTTTTTCAGCGCTTTACCTGAATTGAGTGCGAGCCGGGCAAACGGTCCCGTCTCTGCTCTCAAGTCCTAAGGGAGCGTGACGAAGAGAGGACAGCGTTTACGACCTCTGTCAGGACTATGTGAACCGCCTTTTTTGCAGGAGTGTTCTGCCCCTGTGATGCGGAAATTAAAAAATACCTGGCCCTTTGGATGTTTGAGGGTGTACCTTAGGCAATTCGTCTATCTAACCTTTTGCTTGCTACCATTTAAGTCCCCTATCCGTTTGTGTGGGTAACTGGAACTTTCTTTGTTCTGCTGATCTCCGGCTCACAATGTACTCATCCCTGAAAACCTTAGATTTCTCCCTCCTCAACCTGACTTTGTCTCAAATAGGTAATGCTAGCACTGTCGTGTTGAAGGACTAAACATGTGTGCATATGCATTATACTCACAACACCTTGTCAGTTCGTTTTGCAAAAAGCAATTAGGACAGTCACTATGAGACACCATCACAGTCTTTGTTGGAAGGGCCCAGTGGACCTTTAAGGTAGAGAGGGTGATCCCGCCATCTGCCATTCTCTCTGTGGCCGGCTTGGCGATGCTGTCGGCGTTTTTTCTGGGGAGCGTAGCGGAAAAAGGCCCCACTCCTTTAGGAGCCGCATGCCCACCTCCGGTTCGTTTGCTGTATGTGATCTTCCGTTTCTCCAGACAATGATTTTGGTCGGATATCCCCAGCGATATTGAATATTGTTGTTCCTCAGTGTTTTTGTGACTGTTACAAACTCTCGTCTCCTGCTCATGGTCAAGGCCGAGAGATCTGCGTATAGTTGGACATTTTCATATGGTGTAGGCAGGTTTGTTCCTTTCCTAGCCGCCGCCAGTACTGCGTCCTTTGTTTTGAAGTAGTGGAAACGCACGACTATGTCTCGCGGCGTATCTGGTGTTAGCCGTTGGGGCCTCGGCAGGCGGTGCGCCCGGTCCATAAGCCATTCTGCTTCTGGTACTTTTGGGACCAGGGATTTGCATATGGTCATTATGCTCTCTGCGAGGTTGTCATTTGTAACGGATTCCGGAATTCCTCGGAACCTGACGTTGTTTCGCCTTGAGCGATCTTCCATGTCGGCCATCTTCTTTTTAAGGGACATGTGTTCCTCAGTTAAATTCTGTACAGCAGTCGCCAGTGTGTCATGTGCTGAGCATAGCTCGTCTTGTCTGGCTTCCAGGCTATTGGTTCTCTCTCCCAATTCTGAAATTTCCTTTTTGATATCATTAGTAGCCTGTCTCAGATCTTTTTGCAGCGTTAACCTGAAGTCCTGCAGCATGGAAAAAAGCTTTCTCTCTGTAACTGGGGCGTCTGTATAGTTGCCTGCCTCATGATCCTGTTCTTGTGTGGAATCTGAGGTTTGGGATAGCGCGGGTCCGTCGCCGCCATCTTGAATGGACCGGGATCTATCTTTTTTTTGTTGGCGGATTGGGTCTGTGAGCTTCATTTGTTTGGCAGGGGCCATCACAGCAGTAGGAGGTCTGTACCTTTATTTGTGCCGTTTTTCGAGCGATTTGCTTCGTGGTATCAGGCTTAGAGGTCTTATGCCGCCGGGAGCTCTCACGCCATGCGGCCGCTCACTTCAGCCGTCCGCCCCGCCCCCTAGTCGTGTTATCTCAAATTACCCTACTTGTCACAAAACCTGACTGGTCTGGGTGAATAATAAATCAAACTATCCCCCTCAATCTTTCGGCTAGTACCCTAGTAAATAATTTGAGCTCTATATTTAACAAAGATATTGGTCGATAATTTTCACATAACTCTGTCTTTCCCTTCCTTTGGTATTAAAGTGATTACTGCCTCTAACATCTTTTGAACCAGGCCTTCTCCCTTTAAAATATCCTTAAATATATCCGCCAAGAGGGGCCAATTCTTTTTTTAAAGATTTTATAATATAAAATAGAAAAACCATCTGGACCCGGCTCTTTCCAACAGGGGAATCCATAATTTCCTTTTCTATATCTTCTGATGTAATTAAAAGGACCACTATAGGCAACCAGACCACTTCAGCTTAATGAAGTGGTCTGGGTGCCAGGTCCAGCTAGGATTAACTCTTTTTTTTCTATAAACATAGCAGTTTCAGAGAAACTGCTATGTTTATAATAGGGTTAATCCAGCCTCTAGTGGCTGTCTCATTGATAGCCGCTAGAGGCGCTTCCGCTCTTTTCACTGTGATTTTCACAGTGAGAAGACGCCAGCATCCATGGGAAAGCATTGAGAATGCTTTCCTATGGACTGGCTGAATGCGCGTGCGGCTCCTGCCGCGCATGCGCATTCACCGGAGGAGGCGTAGAGGAGGAGGAGAGTCCCCCGCCCGGGGCTGGAGAAAGAGGTAAGTTCAACCCCTTCCACCACCTAGAGCCCGGCGGGAGGGGGACCCTGAGAGTGGGGGCACTTTCAGGGCACTATAGTGCCAGGAAAACGAGTATGTTTTCCTGGCAATATAGTAGTCCTTTAACTTTTCTAGCTCATTTATTTGTTCATTTGTAATTTTGTGTTTAAACATTTTTTCTAGATAAGTCTCCATACTCTTTTTTTTTTTTTTTTAGTTCCTTGTTGATTTTCCCTGTATTATTTTCATGGATATTATATCAATCATTATAATAGTTTGAAATATATGTGCTATATCATGTGATCTATGCCAGTACTGGCCCTGTCTATCCTTTATTTTAGGAATATATGCTGTAGTATATTGGTTTTTAATACCCTGTGCCAATAACTTGCCTGGCTTATTTGCATGTAAGTAAATAACAAATATTCTTTAGATATCTCTTTCCCCATTAACCCTTCTAAATCTCCTCTTCACTTTTAGTTTCTGTAACAATTATTGGTTCAATGAGAGTTTATGTTCCTGTTCTATTATTTCTATCTTATATAATAATAGTTCTTTTTCTCTGTTCTTTTTCTTCTTAATAAAGGAGCCCAGTGCCATAAGGTATCCCCAAATTACCGTCTGGTGGGCTTCCCAAATTATGTTCTTCTTGATATTGTTATCATTAAAATAAAATTTAATTTCGGTCCTTATTCTCTCTTTATGTTGCTTTTGGTAAGGAGACTATCATTTAATTTCCATGTGCATCTTTTACGTTCCCAGTCCCCCAGTTCAATTGTAACTATTACGGGAGCGTGATTGCTCCATGTTATATTTCCAATTGTTATCCTCTTAATTAAGTCTTAATAAAGTGTGAGACTAGTATCAGATCAATTCTAGTATATTTTTTATGAAGATATGAATAGAATGTATATTCCATTGTATCTGCATATAACATACACCATATATCAACCAAGTGAGAGAGTGTAAACGCTTGCTTTACCTTTTTAAGGTTGACATACTGGGTATAGGTATGGCCATCTGATGTATCTAATCTGGGATTCATTACCTGGTTGGAATCTCCAGCAGCAATAACAATCTCCTCTTGAAACGTTCTCAATTTGGACAAATACTTGCAAATATGGTATGATTACTTTGTATTTGGGACATAAAAATTAGCCAGGGTTATTAAATGGGTACGTAGAAAACCCTTAATAAAAAGAATATGACCATCTTGGTTATGCACATCTCCTTGAGTTCGAAGGGAACATTTTTAGAGACCATAATCATAACTCCCTTAGAGTTTGAATTTTTAAAATTAGAATAAAAAAATTGACACAGTGCAGACCTATTAATTTCTTCTGTATAGTTGGTTTCTTGTATAAATACAAACACTGTCTTATATGGTTCTAGATCATATATTAACCTCCCCAGCTTTACTTTGGAATTTAATCCTTTAACATGGAAAGAAACTAAATTATATAACTTTGAAGTCATGTTATACTCATAAAAAAGGCTCTTAAAACCATAATGAATGATCCAAAAGGCCTGATACTTTTAATATCCCCAAACGCTTAAAGGAGAGTGAGAGAAAGAAATAAAAAAGAAATAAAAATAAAACCTACCACCAAAAGCTCTTACCCCATTTTCAGTAACCATCCTTTCAGAACATCCTGATATTAAACACACCAAAAAATACAATAAAAGAAAATACATTTCCTATTTTTAATGCGTTTCTTGGTAGTAACCTAAATAAAACATAAAAAAAAGAAGAAAAAAAAAGTAGAGCCCAAATATAGGCCCTTAATGCAGCCATAAATCCAAAGAAAGTCATTTTTCCCCATCTTTCTTGGTATACTATGTAGGAGTGCAAGCCTTAACTAGCTCCTTGCTCTAGCATCCAAACTTCTTGATTCCTTTCATTCTATGAGTCTCCTCTCCTTCCATTTCCCTGTCTCCACTTCTCCTTTTTCTTCTTCAATTTTCCTTCTCTTTCCTTGTCCTCTTTTATCCATTTTTCCTTTCTTTCACTTGATCCTCCATTTCTTACTCCTACCCTCCCTTCACCCTTTCACCCTTTCTAGTTCTTACTTTACTTACTGCCCCTTCTTCCACCTCTGATCCTATCTCCTCACCCTCTTCCCATCTCTAACTCTACATCCCTTTCAGCCCTTCTTTCCTGTCCATCCTGCCCACCAATAACAGTTGTCCAAACCCTGGCCATTTCACATTAATCAATTTTGATACAATAACCAATCCAAGAGCAGGAAACATTAATGTCAAAATAAAAATATTCCCAATCTTAAATATTCTGTGTTTTCTTGAGTCCTTTGATTTCATAGTAATAAACCAAAAACTACCTAATTTCACCCACTATTAATTTTGTTCATACTATTCCCAGTAGCTATATAGAACACCACATCATTGTGGTTTAGGATCGGTTTAGTCGACATGAAAGAGAAAGAGACAAAAAAAAACCTTTCTTCAATTCCTTCTTTATCTAGAGTCAGCTATGTATATTGGTGTATATTGGTGCCTCTGACGAAATAGGGCAGCACCCTATGAAACGCGTAAGGCTGTAGAGAACCACAGACGGACTAGAGAATACACACTCCTGTTAAGCACCGACGGAGCTGCCTGCAACACAACACTGTTCTGGGTGTTTACCTCCTGATGTGAGGTCAAAGAGGTAGTTCCGAGTACGCGGACGCCGTCCTCACCGGCTCTGCAGAATCAACCTGGAAGGAGAGTACAACAATCCTAAGCCATCCAGACGAACTGTGCAGGTTATATGAATTTTCTATTTTCTCTCATATACATTAGCCCGTGTGGAATTTTTTCCAATGAGTATTTTAAGTTTTTTGTATTATGTAATTTTGATTATGAATAAAGTCTACAATTTTTTAATACATCAATCTCCATAAGCATCTTTTTGATACCTATTGGACACTGTTTAAAGTACCAATTAGATACTAAAATATAATTATTCAGGATACATTTGCAACTTTTGGATGTTACAATTTTACATATCTTTTTTGGCAGTTATCCAAGTTCACTGCCTTGGACTATCTATCAGGGTGTTAGTTTGCTATACTAACAATCCTAAAGCCATTATCTTTTGCATATATATTTCTTTTTTTTTTTTTGCTCTTTCTTTTGCTATCTTTTTTTTTTTTTATGACCTTCTTATATGAATGTAAATTATATTCATATCAACCTCGTTCAATCTTGCAAAAGTCATTTTAGCAAGTTAGAGGTTTTTATGATACATTGAATATATCTCTCTCTTTGGACTATTTTGATTTATAATTATCACTTGGACTTTTCAAAGATATTTTATTATTTTATCTTCATATTTCTTTAATTATAGTTACACAATATATGTGTTAATACTATTGTTAATATAAGCTTCTGGATATTCTTTGATATTCATGTATATTGGTGTTGAACGCCTTTTCCTCTTCTTTGGTTGTATTTCCCACACTTTCCCTGGTTCCTGAAGGGATGGTGTCCTTTTCACCTGTCCGGACTAGTCCTGCACCTCCACCAGAGGAAGGCCTAATAATTAAAAAAATTCCCCTTTTGAATTTCTTACCCCTTTTATGTTACTTAGCCCATATTTTGACTGTCTTATCTCTTTTTGTGTACTTTTATCCCCCTTATGTGTCCTATATGCTCTTTAATCCTCCATTTTTCCTGTTTGTTTCTTACACGCCCCTTGTGTGTCTCTCCAACCCTTTATGTGTCTCTATCTTCCCTCCACCCCCTTTGTGTGTCACTTTCTCCCCCACTCCCTTTGTGTGTCATTATCTCTGTCCCAGGCTCCTTTCTGTGTCATTATCCCCTTACCCAGCCCCTCTGTGTGTGTCATTGTCCCTTTCCCCAGCCCCTCTGTATGTCAATGTCCCCTTCCACAGCACCTTTTTGTGTCATAGTCCCCTTCTCCAGCCCCTCTATGTGTCATTGTCCCCTTCCCCAGCCCCTCATTGTTCACTTTCCCAGCACCTCTCTTTGTCATTGTCCCTTTCAGGCACCTTTCTTTGTAATTGTCTCATTTCCAGCCACCCTGTGTCTCATTGTCCCCTTCTCCAGCCACCCTGTGTGTGTCATTGTTCCCTCCCCCAGCTCCTCTGTTTGAGTCATATTTGCCCCCTTCTCTGTGGTGTCCCCTTCCCATGCCCTATTGTGTGCCCTTCTCTCTCCCCCCCCCTTACTTGCCTGCTTACCTCCCTTCATGTAGCATGGCTGAGCGGACCACGGTGGAAGAATTTCTGTTTCCTCTACCCGAACTGACAAGAAGCGGTTCGGTGCTCTCAAGAGAACTTCTTGTTAGACCAGGTAGAGGATAAAGATCTTCTACTGTGGAGTGGTCCACTTGGCCACACAACATGAAGTGATTGGCAGGTGGGGAAGTGCTGTGTACACCACCCGGGCTGGTGCGCCCTAAGGCAGCTGCCTGTGCCTCCTTATGGTAGCGCAGCCCTGAGTAGATATAATTTCTGTGTAGTAGATGCAGTGTCTGTTTAGTGGCTGAATTGTCTGTATGTGTAGTGGATGCAGTATCTTTGTAGTTGGTGCAGTTTCTATGTAGTGGATGCAGTATCTGTTAGCTGATGACGTGCATGTGTAGTGGATGTAGTGTGTGTCAGGGCCAGATTGGGGGAAAAAAATTTGACCGGGGGATTTTTCAATCACAGCTGCCCCTTGAGAAGGGGGCGGGGCCAGAGAGGGTGTGTCACTAATGACTAGCACGCCACCTCTCAAAGTGAGCAGGTTGGTTCAATGCGCAGAGCTCTGCTGAAGAGCTCTAGCATGAGAAAAAGGCCCTGTATTTGTTCTGCGCAGTGCAAGCAAATTTAATAACATGCTTGTGACAACTTTGAAGAAGCTATATCCAGATGAGTCAAGAGAGAACATCTAATTGATAGTCTCAGAGACATCCAGCTAGCTACAGAAATCAGCTCTGAAGCATCTCTGCACATAACTAAGATGATTGCCAAGAGCATGGCCTTAAATGTAGCTTCCAGATGGGCTCTATTGCTTCATTTGTGAGGAGAATACTATGCATCTAATGGTAACCTTTGCTCATTGCCATTCCAGGACAAAGATAAAAGAACCTCATATTCATCATCATGGAAAGACAAGAGGTTTTGTGACCAAATCTTTCAAGAAAATAGATCCTACCATCCAGAGAAAAAATATTCTAGAAATGCATCTTGGAGAAATTTTCAGTCATCCTGCTCCAACTCAAAATCCTGTACTTCATTGAAAAGCTTCTGAAGGTTCGCTGGCCCAGCCAGATCCTATTGGAGGAAGACTCCTGTGTTTCTTTCCAGTCTGAACCAAACAAATGTCAGGCATCAGGATCCATTCTTTACTTATTGTCTGTTACTACTATTTTGTTGTTTTTTCTTTTTTTCCTCTTTTCTTTTAGTCCTGGTATGTTTCTCTGAACTGCTCGTTATGCCTGGGGTATGAGTAAAACTGCTGTGCGCCGCCCTTTCCCTTTGACGGGAGCTTTAGGTTCCGTGCGCATGCGTGTCAAGGTCTCTCTTGCGCAGATACCATGTACTTGTTATTTACTGATTTATTTCCTACCATGTTTTTATATGTTTGGTATACCAATTTGATATATTGATTGTATTATTTTGAACACATGCTTTGTAATGAAATGTTCAATTGTTTTATTGATTGTTTAACTGATTGGTTGTGTGTATATAAATGCATTTTCTTCACTGTGGTGTATGCTTGATAAAGATTGAGTTAGGTCGAACCGTTGCAAATAAATCTGCCTGGAAACTTTCACAGTGAGTGCCTGAGGTTTTTCTTTTTAGGCATCAGGATCCTGTCTGTTCTAAAGAAAGGATACATAATATAATTTAAGACATTCCCCAAATCCCCATTAACTATCAATTTTCAAGTTTCTCTGCTTCTAGATTGTTGAAAAACACTTAAAAATCAGAGGTCATATGCCATTTGGCATATGCCTAGCTCCCAGAATGTTCTAAAAAATTCTCTTATAGCCTTTCTAAGGAACAAAGGCATTACAATCTTCCATTATTTGGATGACATTCTGATGATTGCCTCTACTTTTCAACTTTGAAGTGTCTCCAAGAACATGGTTAGGTCATCAACAAGGAAAAGTACTCCTTAACCCCTTCTCAACAAATAGTGTTCTTGGCCGGCGCTTGATAAACACTATAACATCGAAAATCAACATTTTACAAGAAAGAACACAGATAATCAAGCAAAAGATTATTCAAATTCTCCAAGTGCCATAAGTCTCGGCCAGGACCTATATGAGTTTGTTAGGGTCCCTGACATCTACAATAGGCCTTGTCCGCTGGTCTCAATGGAACTCCAGACTAACTCAGAAAAACTCTCTGGACCAGTTTAGCATCAAGAAAGCTGACTGGAATCAGCTCATTCCCACTCCTCATTAAGTGATGTCTCAATTGAGATGGTGGCTACAACAGAAGAATCTCTATAGAGGAACCATTATGGTAAAGGACGCCAGTCTTACAGGATGGGGAGCACACACAGACACAATGGATTCAGGTCGTCTAGAATCCATCAGAACTGACACTTCATTCAAATCTTTGGGAATTTAGAACAATCATTTATGCCATCAGGAAACTAAAGCATGTCATCAAATATCTTATTAAGGACAGACAACAGGGCAGTAGCTGTTTATATAATAAAACAGGAAGTAACACGAAGAAAACATCTCCTAGAACTATTGATGACTTGGGCTCAATTCTACCTGGTCCAGAAAACCATCTAGATTGCCTCAGTAGAGCCTGCATTCTCCCAGGTGAATGGAGTCTAAATCCCAAAATCTTCAAAATACTGACGGAGAGGTGGAAAATGTTTTAGATCGATCTCATGGCCAACTGTCAAAATTCACAGGTGGTTTGTTTCTTTTCCCTAACTTCAGATTCACCAGTCTTTAGACAAGATGCCCTTTTTCAGACCTGGATTTTCGATCTGAGGTATGTGTTCCCCAACCTGCCTCCAGGGCGTCCGCGGGGGGGGAAGTGCCCCCTCTTGTCCCCCCCCTGCGGATGCCCATGGAGGCAGGTTTTCAGCTTGCCTCTACCGCCAGGGTCAGCCCTTCCCAGCTCACTGGGGATGCAGCAGAAAAGAGCCTGCTGCTGATCGAGCCGACAGGGAGATCAAATGATCAAAGATCTCTCTGACCGGTGAAGTGTAAACCCCACCACCCTTATCCTTTATAGAGCTAGACCTGGCAGTGTTAGAAGTCTCCCTGACAGGTCTTGCTCTCTGTGTACAGGAAGGAGTGCTCAGAGCTGAATACGAGGAGGAGATTTGGAGTGACATACCCTGCTCCTTCTACATCATGCTGTGTGCTCCCAGCACATGCAGTAAGCTCTGCTAGGAGGAGCTGCTTGCAGGAGGAAACACTGTGGACAGGATTACTGCAGAGGCATGCTGCTCAGGGGCTGGTGGAGTGAAAGTGAGAAGAGACTCAAGAAAGAGGTAAGTTAAAACAAATAAAAGTGGGGGCTTGAGAAGGAAGAGATTAATAAATGATTAATGGAGGCAGAGGTACAGCTGGGGGTGAAGAGAAAAGGAGGTAGAGTGATAGTGAGAAAGTACGTGGTGACAAAGACAGGTGTGTGGGTTAAAAACTCACATTCTGTATATATATTTACCACACAGATAGTACAACAGCAGCTATTAGTTTTACATAGCCCAGTTCACTGTTTAGTGAACCAGGCTATGTTCAGTTTTACAAACACAAAAAATGGATAAGTGGCGCTAAAAAAGTATACAAATACAAGAATATAAAAAGTATATCCCAGTGCGTCTAAAACCAAACCCGTGTTTTAGTCACCTGCAAAACACTTACATGAATACAATTGGATACAAGAAAAGGATGTTTTGTGCACACAATGGATAAGTAGTAGTAAAATCTGTAATATATAAAAAAAATCATAGGGCGATATGCATACATAAAATGTGTAATATAATGGTAACTTGGAGCACTCACAATCTAGAGAGCCATATAAGTCGTCTCTCTACTGTACTAGCATGTAGAATACTACAGTATCGATGCTGTAGTTGAGATGGTCCATCAGGAACAGAAGTCAAATTCCGTCTGGATAAAAATTAGGAACCGAAATAAAATATAAATATATTCTTTATTTGAAATAAAAGATGAGACAAGCACAACGCGTTTCGACCACTCTTGGTCTTCCTCAGGTGCAATAATGGTACATACCAGTAACATGTTTATATACCTTATACATAAATCCGAAAATAAAACACACATGTTAAAATAATACAAAACCCGCCCACCCAAGTCCATATATGGTAATTCCGGTTCTTATTTCTCCTCTAATATGGAGGATAAGTAGTCCTTATGATGTAGATTCTATATCAATTGACCTTCTTATCATGGCCGCGTTATTCGGATGTTCGTGTCCAGTCACGTGACTTCCGGTGTTAAGCCGGAACGTCACTTTTGTTTCTCGTCATTTGAATAGAGACTTCCGGTACTGCGCAAAAAACGTCACTTCCGTTTTGCGTAATCTGAACAAGGGGTGGAACCGTTTTTCTTTCCGAAGACATTATTGGCTACTCGTGCAAAGTCCATAATGAATTAAAAAAATGTTACTCAAAGTTAGCATAGAGGAGAAAGGAGAGGGCAGGGAAATAAATAAAACTTTAGTAAATGAGTGTAATGCATAATAAAAAACAAGAATTCATAAATATGCTAAATATATATATATATATATATATATCAAAAGTCATCATTGCTTAGTTGACTATACAATTGACATTAATTATAAGTCAAAGATAAAAGTGATAACAAAAGAATACTAACAGATTGTATGGGAGGAAGTTAATTATAAAATGGGACCAATATCAAAATCAAAATTTAACCCCTTTGGGTGTAATGTTTGTAGGTCAAAAATCCAAGAACTTTCCTTTTTACTAAGTTTTAAAGCTATATCACCACCTCTCCAGTTATTTGAAACCTTTTGAATGGCCATGAACTCTATTGGCCGTCCTGTATATAGTGAAGTGATGTCCTAAGCTCTTCTTCACTATATACAGACCACCAATAGAGTTCCTTGTGGAATTCCTATATATTGATTTGTCCTGTAACTACTTTAAATTTGAAAACAATTTCTTTCTTCAACTCTCTGGGAGTGGCGATGGCTCCATCATATGCCAACGCCTTTATGTTTGTCTTTGAAAATTTACAGATTCTACAAAAATATGGAGACCGGATTAAACATTACCATAATTTTTGTAGATGATATATTCCTGGTTTGGACTGGTACCACTGAGGAACTGCAACAGATGACACTGGAGATTAATCAAGCCCCCACACCAGTGAAGCTGAGTATGAGCTATGATATACAATTTATAGAGTTTCTTGATGTGACCATTTTCAAACAACAGGGGAGGCTGGAATTTACTTTAGATTGAAAGAAGACAGAACGAAACACTCTACTCATGGCCTCTAGTTTTCATCCGCAAAACTTCAAAGCATCCTTACCCATATCTCAATTCTTGAGGGTATACAGATACAATAGCACAAAGGAAAAACGTGAAGTACAACTCCAGGAAATGTGGAACAGATTTAGGGCTAGAGGATATCTATTCCACACTCTTGTAGTAGCGAAAGAACGAGCGAAAGAAATATGGGAGTCTGAAATGAACAACAAGACAACTAAGGCCACATCAACACCCAAACCTTTTCTCCCCATTACCTCATACGGGTACATTGATGGTCAGAGAATCCATCAATAAACAATGGGGTATGTTTCAAGCAGACAAACAACTACCCAAGACATTCCATAGTCGACCTACGTTCAGTTACAAGAGGAACAGAATCCTCAAAGACATACTTGTAAGAAACGATCCCACACACTGCTATCAAGTAGCCACTAAAGTCACAAGTAAAGGGTGTTTTAAATGCAGTGGCTGCGTCACCTGTAGCCACATGGTCAGTGGATCTACCTTTGCCCACTCTCATAATGGCCAAAGAATTAACATTCTTCAAAATATTACATGTACCACTGACCATGTGATTTATTTAATTACATGCCCCTGTGGACTATCCTATGTGGGCAAGACCGATCTCACCCTCAGGGATCGGATACGGGGTCATCGGTCCACTATCACTACTGCATTCCATGATAAACATAGCGACAAACCAGTGGCGAAACATTTTCTTGCTCATGGACATAGATTACCTACCCTACGCTGTGTAGCAATTGACAACATTCCCCCCCTACCAAGAGGTGGAGACAGATCCAGAATGCTACTGCAATGAGAGGCACGCTGGATACACCAGCTTGACACTGTGACCCCAAGAGGACTTAATGAAAATATTGTCTATTCAGTTTTCCTTTAAAATCTATGGTTTCCAGTGGGGCTGTGATATATATCTTCTAGCTCTACTTTCTAGCTCTATAATTATTTATTTATTGTTCTTCAAATATGTGGATTTTCTACTTTTTCACTTTTCCGTTTCTAACACGCTTCCCACTGCTACTTTAATGGTAGCTCTATATTTATTCTATATAATTTTTCTTAACACTTGGCACTTTCCACTACCCTCTTGATTATGGTATGGGGAGATGGTGAGTAAGAGATTAACAACCTCCCTTCTTTCAAATAGCGATAGAGTTACATGTTAGGAAGTCTTCTCTTTACACTATAGAATTTCCACTGCTAAAAAACAATAGGATACAACTGTTCTTATATATTGTTAGTCAGTGGTATTTCTAGATTATAACCACAAAGTCC